CTAGGCATGCATGAAATAAGAACAGGTATATAAGAAAAATAACACAACATAGACCTTGGAAATACAAACATAATTGGTGCAGAAATTTTTTTTAAAAAATTAGTAGGCTCACTAGCTAGCTGACAATACATAAATATGTAGTACATTAGGGAGGTAGGTGATCCTGTGAGGGGAATCTCCTAGAACCCAGCACAAAGAGACACGCTCAAAGTAATGCAAATAGGTATAAATAGCAGAACAACAAAAGACAGACCACAAATCATTCAAAAAAGTTGCTTTAGAACTACTATCTGAAGAAATATAAGGTAAAAAGCACAAATGATTGAAAGAGGAATACTTCCTTTCGTGAAAGTGACAGCTAACTTGGAAGTTATGAGTCATAACTCTTATGCTTTCAAAAAACATAATTCAAAATATTTGACTCAAAAATTGAAAGCATATAGCATAGTAAAAGGAATACAGCAGAGTTTCTATGAACTTCAATCCTTTAATAAAGATCGCCTAAACTCACAGATGCTTATTTGACTGAACATTTTTGTGGAGATCATGTGGAGAATTGAGTTTCAAATTCAGGTTGCCTTGGTGCAGGAAGGTACAGCCTGAGTGTTTGAGAGAACCAGAAGCCTGGGATTCCAGGAGCTAATATCCTCCTTTCTCCGCTGTATTTCACTCTGACTTGTGACAATGCAGATAACCTGGGAAAACTTTGAGATAAGTGAGGACCTGGGAGTCAGTGGATTCTCCCGAAAAGTAATAGGAATCAGAACTTCCTGCTCTGAAATCCAGGTCTACCAGCTTTTAGCAGTGTGACCTTGGGAACACAACTCAACCTCTCTGTCTCCTGAGTTCCCTCCACCATAATATGAAGATAATAATCATACCACCCTCACAGGTTTGTTATGGGCTTTAAATGAATTAATATATGTAATTGCTGAGTAATAGCTGACTGTGTCCCCACTTAGATGTTAGGTATAATTACTACAGATAATAGTTAGATATTATTTTTATGAGGTGGTGAGCTGTTAATAGCAATAATTTTAAAGAGAGACCCTCTCTGCCCTTCAGGACTTATGATGCCCTATGACAATACTGGCCAATGAGTGAGGGAGGTGGGGGTACCATGATGAAGATCCAGTGCCCGGCCCTATCCATAGTCATGGGATCATTACCAGCACAAGGGTCATGGTACAGGAATGGCCCCTGGGAATCACTGGGACGAGGATAAGGCACATCCCAGTTGGAGTTTCCGCAGATGCTCCTGAAAAAGGTGGTCCAAATTTTGTGTCATGCTGGGGTTGGAAGAAAGAAAACACACCCAGTTGGAAATCTATAGGAACAGGTGAAGTGGTCATGATGGAGAGGAGAGGCAACAGAGAATGCACAGGTGATGGCACCTGTGAAGAACAGGCTGCGCTCACCTGTGGTTCTGGGAGCAGAGGAAGTGGCAGGCGCTGTCCAGGTGGGCTGGGAGAATGAAAGGACATTGCCTGCTCCTTCCGAATGTCTGTCTTGAAGAGACCCCAGACTTTGTTTTGCAGGGGAGGAGAGGGCCTGCCCTCCACAATGCCTGAGGAGTGAGGTAGCTATGGGAGGAAGGGCCATGAGACTGGGGCCGTCCTCCATTGTTGAAGAGGGAGTAGACCTGGGTTGTTTCCTGGGAGGTTGCTGATATCCATGTTTGGGGTTTCCAGGCCCAGGGAACCTCGGACAGTACTGAAGACAGGTTGATGGCTCCAGGGCCTTTGTCCCAGAGGCACTTATGTCATGCTAGGGGTCCCTTCCTTATTTGACAGTTCCTGGCCTAGGAGTGTCTGTGACTAAAGATCGTGCTTGGGGCTCCAGAGACTGTAATTCTGGATATGACAAATGCGAGGCCTTGTGGCTGAAGCAGCCTTTGGTGATGGTACAAAATCTCCAGGATGGCGCCTGCAAAAATTCCTCTAGCTCCCAAGTAAAAAGTTGGACAGATCAAACAAAGCAACAATCCTTACAACCGTCAGAGAGACCCACTGTCACCACAACTGGAGAGTTAGACAGAAACAAACAGAGAATGATGATTTCCTGAAGCAGAAACCTCTGTGGGAACTGGCACTGGGGTAGCAAACCCTGCACCGTAACTGAAGACTTGCTAGAGTTCACTGTGGGCCAGTCTGAGTCAAAAACTCCAGGAGGACCTAGTCACAGGGGCTCCCGTGCTTTTGAAAGGCTTACCTTCAGGAGCTTGCTTAGGACCTCAGAGAGAATATGAGAGAAATACTCCCTTGTGTTTTCAGCAGGGCAAGGGGAAAACTAGCCATTTTGAAATTTACCAGAGTGTTTTTTCTTCTCGACAAGGTCTGCTCTCAGAGGAAGTACTATTTGACCAGAGCCTAATCTGTCTCGGGGAAAGCAAGGACCCAAATCCAGCCCACTCTAGCCACCCTGTCCCACCTAAAGGGGAAAAACTGAGGCGAACCGGTGAAGCCTATGGTCCAAGACTGTGACTATTCTCCCAGTGATAAACTCACGTGGTGATATTTTACAGAAAGGAATAATTGAAAGAGAGATTTGACAACCAAGATGAAAGAGCATTGAAGAAAAGAGAGGCAAAAATGCTGCAAGAGGAATTCAAATCAAATGAGTAATAAAAGTATAAATAGCTGACTGTAGCTATGTAGGCCCCAATACTGTTTAGAGAGACTTCAGCTATACAGACAGAAAGGACTTCATGAGGACAAACTCACAATAAACGGGAAAGGGATGATGACAAAAAGGGTGAGGACATCCCCGAGACAGGGAAGGACATTGCCTGCAGAAGCTTCAAATGGAAGGTGCTATGGTAGAGATTTCACAGCATTGAATGTGCAAAGGATAACATGTTGAAATCTAAGCCAGATTTAGTGAGGAGACTGAAATTCGTCGAGGTGGATCAGATGAATATTTCACATCGTAAATTCCACAATGCAGAAGGAAGCACTGTTCCAACTACTCTTGATAAGTTTTAACAAAGAAATAAAACACATGGACTCTCAATGCTTCTAATGCTCTAGATTACTGTTTTCAAAAGAGATATTTTTTCATTGACAGTATGATTAGTTTTGAATATTTTTTTTTAATTGTGAGGTCACAGAACAATCATTATTTTCCCATTAGATATAGAAATTGCTTGACAGGGTTTCGGTGTCTGCACAGTCATTTTTACAATCCCTCAACCTCTGTTGTAGAAAGTGAGAACCGCCTGTGTTCAGTGTAATCCAGGTGGTCATAAGTGCTTAGAAGAAAAATCAATCAGGTTAGGAGGAATTGGAATGCTAGGGGAGAGAAAGAAATTGATATTTTATACAGCTGGTTTACAGAAAGTTCTCTTAATAAAGTGAAATTTGAACAGAAATTCGAAGGGAGAGAGAGTCAGTCATGCAGACACGTTGGGGAAGAGCAGAGGAGTGAGGCCATATGACTTTTCCAGAGAATCGCTGGGGCTGAAAAATGGAAGCCAGTGGAGGCTACAGCCATGGTCCACGACGAGAGGATGCCAGCTGGGACCAGGCCAGAGTGGTGGGGTTGGAAATTGAGCAGGCCATGGATGTGACGCAGTAGTAAGCTGGGGCAGGCTTGGGTGGTCCCTGGGAGCCAACTTGTTTTCAGGAATTTTGCAATCTGGTTTTTAGCTGCTAATAGCTTGTAATTGGCCAAGTTGGGAGTATTTTATGGCAGTTCTTGGCAAGCACTGCAAATAACTCTTTTTTTTTCTTTCTTTTGAAGAGTCAGTTGTTAAACATTTGCCATCTCACCTGTGGAATTCGCATTTTGAAGGAAGAATTGAATACAGGATGACAAAGAAAGAGAACACTAGAAGGACGCCAAGGATTCAGGACTGTCACAGCATTTCTACCATGAGCAACAGGATGGGAGATTGCAGGATGACAGCACTAGTGTCTCCCTCAGAGAGAAGAGGGAATATTTATTTCCTTCTGGATGTGGAGGGTAGGTTCTTAGACAATGAGGAAGAATATTTTTTTTCAGAAAACCAGGCAGAGTTCATTGGCATCCAGAAGGCCTAAGAGAACCTCAGCAAGGCTGGAACTTGGGGTGGGCAGGAATCAGAAGATGGAATAACATTTGAGAGCCTGGGTTAAGTCTGTGGTTCATGGTTCATCCTGAGGTGATGGACAAGGAGGCCTGAAGTGTGTAGCTGTGGCTTGTTTCTCACATTCTAGGGGGTGTTGTGAGTCAGTCCTCAGAGTCCGATGCCATGTCTCCTGCTCTTGGCCGTGACTGAAGATCCGCCTCTGGGGGATGAACACCGTGTGAAGGGCAGCAGGAGCCGATGGCCAGGCAGATGCCCTGGGAGGAGAGACATTTGGGTCTGAGTCTGGAGAAGCTTCTCTCCAGTTCCTTCCCTCAGACTGAGCCCCTCAAAGAAGGATGGAGGAGAGGGGCTTATGGTCCCATGTGGCAGCAGAGGATGAAAGGCGCTGTGGAGAAACATGTTCACATCTAATCATCTGCTCACCCTTCCTGAGAGTCTGTTATGTCCCGTGTTGGCCTTTTCCACGCACAATAGGCAGCCCTGAGACAGAACTTGGCTGGCTCAGCCCCACTCCTGGGTCCTGCCGCCCCTTCCCACATCCCTTCTGTTCACAGCCCTCAGGGCAGCCCACCTGGAGATTCTCAACATTACTCTGCCATAGGCATTCCTTTGGTCCCATGGAGACCCAGCGTTGACATAATCAGAGATGGCCTGCAAGGGAATATCCACTCAGTTGCCCCTCACTCCACCCACTTGGCCTAATTGTCCGTGGGTTCCCTAGGGTACTGCGGACACCCTTGACCACGCTTGACGGAGCCCCCTCCCACAGTACCCACACACATCCTGGAGTTGGGAGCCTCTTAGGAGTTCCGTGAGAATCCTGAGGGTGCTGAGGGGGGTGTGTCACCTTCTCTAAGTCCACTACCCTGACCCTGCTGGCCTTGCCCCTCTGGAGCAGACCTGGACCTGCCCGCCCTCCCCGCACTCACAGTCAGGCCCTCTGCTTCCGGTGGACATAGACAGCAGTGACACTGATGACCAGCAGCACCTTGGGGACCAGGAGGAGAGCTGCGAAGAGTCGGGCAGTGCGAGAAGGAGACGGCGTCCAGCCTGGAAGTCAGGGGACAGGAGGAACTATGAGAGGGACAGCCCGGGAGGACACCCCAGGGGCCTCCACATTCCCCGTCGGAGGCTACTAGACCTGTGCTCTGACATCTTGCCCTGGCTTCCCTGGCTCCAGCCTGAGGCAGAATCAGGGTCAAGAGGCTCCCTATTCCCTTGCCCTGTCCCAGGCGACCAGGTCATCCTGGAGGGGCGAGGTGGGAAGAATGTGGCCTCAGAAATGCATACGTGTGGCATCTGATTCCTCACTTGATCCTCACAACTCTGTGGATCTGGGATCATTATCCCCTTTCTGTTGGGGACACTGAGGCCCAGAGAGTATTGGAAGGGTCATAAGATTAGTGGGATCCAAACCTAGGGGACAAGTGTCCCTAAGCATGGTTCCTGAGACCATGTTCCTTGGATAAAAAAGTCCAGCCTCTCAAGGTCATAGTAATGATTACCCAAGGGCCTGCAGGTGGGGTGAAGCTGGTTTCATGAGAGAGCTGCAGGCTGCCTGGCTAGGACCATGGTGGGGTGGATGACCCCTTGTTCTCAGGACCTGGGGAGCCTTGAGGGGATGGACCTAATTAAACTGCTGGCTGGAAAACACACTAGTGAGTCAAGAGAAAGCATCTCGTGCTTGGGACGGACCCAGACATCATCTAACCCAGTGCCATCTTTCAGTTGGACACAGAGCGTCAGATCTGGGGAAGCACAACTTTGGAGTCTTTGCTTTTTTAAATTTACAATGAGCAGTTTTTACTGTTAAAATTAAACAAATGAAAATATTAAAGTATGTTTTTATAAATAAAATGGAGCTGCCAAGTCCTTAAGGAAGGAGTGGAGACATCAGCCTGTGTGTCTGCCAGGTGCTGGAGGCCAGCAGTGTCAGCTGGGGGGTCTCCGGACTTTCTCGTGCTGCGCTGCCCAAGTTCACTCCTCTTGCCTGCACCTCGGCTCAGCATCTCCCTCATCCTGTCCTGTCCCCTCACTCCCTCATGCGTAGTGACCCTGACAGCACTCCAGGATGCTTCCTGCATTACTGTGTTCATCTCAGAGTCTGGCTCCTGGGAAAAGGGAGCTCAGGGAATGGTCTGTAAACCTCATCTACTGGCAAGGAGGACTCCAGGACTGGTGGTTATTGGAGCAATGGTGGTGCAGTGAAAAAAATAACCTTTCTGGTGGTAGACTGAGTGAACTAACCACAGAGGGAAACTTCTCGACATCAGGCATTTGAAATGAATTGGGAAATAGTTGTTACAAGGACTATGGCATTGGAGGGCTGTTGTTGGGCACTGGTCCTTAAGAGACAGACACGCAGAAGCTGGGAGTGACCAGTCACCAGGTGTGGTGGCTCAAGCCTGTAATCCCACCACTTGGGAGGCTGAGGCGAGAGGACTGCCCAAGCCCAGGGGTTCCAAATCAGCCCGGATGACTTTGAGAACTCGTCTCTACAATAAAGAAAAAATTAGCAGGTTGTGGTAGCACATGCCTGTAGTTCCAGCCACTTGAGAGGCTGAGGCAGAAGGATCACATGAGTCCAGCAGGTTGAGGCTGCGGTGGCTGTGAGCATACCACTGCACTCCAGCCTGGGCAACAGAGTGAGACCCAACTCA